ACACACACACACACACACACACACACACACACACGGACACACACACACACACACACACACACACACATTTAGGTGCACATCTGCTTATAAGCTGAGTGCCTTTGTTTGTGCTTTGTTTGTGTGTTCTGTGTGAGTCAGTCACTCTTCTCTTGTACTTACTTTTGGAGTCGATGTGCCTTTTCGTTGACCTCAACCATCCTACTGACGTACCAGGAGGTAACAATGATGGTCAAGATACCTGAGTTAAGCAAAATATTGTTAAAAAGTGTCATCTGCAGTCATGTCTGTGCTTAATTTGTTCATGTTTAATATAAAATACAAGGAAAACATAAAGAAAACAAAAACAAGCCCCTTGCTGCTCAATGTGTTTAAATTGATGGGATGCATTTGAAAACAAAATTTAGGAGCTTTTGAATTTATTAATCACGATTATCATTTTTTCCATTTAAACCATCTATGACTGAATAGATAAACAGATATATAAGATTTATACTGAGATGAAAACAATATTCTTCAACTTGACTTTAGGAAGATAATAATTGTTCGTCATAATTGCACAAATCTAGACACAGTTCCATTTAAAATATCTAAATAAGCAAGTAAACCAGCATTTTTAAACTTCACAGTGTTCTAAGTTAAATAACTATGTGGAGACAAAAAAAGGTCAATAAATCTATATTTTACATAAACATTATTTAAGCCATGTAGTTCAGTAATTGAAGTATTTAGCCTCAGCACCGATATTAAACTTTAAACACTTTTCACTGCAGAACACTCTCAGGATGGCTGCGTTTCTACTTTGTTCTTCTCTAGTTAATAATATTTTATTCTGGTTTTATTTACATTTCCATACTTAATTAAGAGGTTTTCATTTATGTATTTTGTTCCTGTCTTTTATCGCTACTGATAAAAGGCAGTAGTGATTAAATGGCCCCGGACCACGGAAAACAAGGTTAAAAGCAGAAAAACATTTTGGATTGAAAGCATGCTAATGGAGCGACAGTGACTGGGTGTGAGCGCATGTTCAGCATTTTCCTCTCTCACCTTGTTGGGATTTTCAGGGCATCAAAGATATTTCTGATTTTAGCTTTTAAATGTCAACATACTGTAGTAACTACTACCTTTGGTTTACTCTAAAAAAATGCTGTTCGACTTTCCTTACACTCACGGTGTCCCTGTGTTGTGATCTATTAAATGTCCCGCATTCATTTGCAACATCTAATATCATTTAAAGACTAGTAATACATATGCTTACATTTAACCATCTTTAACTAGGATGATGCATGAACCACCCACATTAGAAGAAAATAAAAACACTGCTTGACTTGTTTTCAAAAATCCTGATAATTTCCTGTTTGTAATATCTTATGTTGTTATGTAATTAAATATTTGGTCACAAAACAAAAAAGTAGTGTTTTTCACAAAAGAGCAGTGATGTCTCTTGCATGAATGATGCTTTGGGCAACCACATCTTTGAGGAGCATCTTACACTCCTCCACACACAACCAAACACAAACATAGTTCCCTGATAGTCTGATGTGCAAAAGGAACATTTTTCAAATAACCTAGCAGATACATTAAGAACTAAATGAACAAGGATCTAAAATCCATACATATCAGATTACATTTAAGTCTCTGTTTATTGCTGAATACCCAAGTTCAAGTTTAATCAGTCTAGTGCTGCATATTAGACACTAAAGTCAGTTTGGACAGCAGCAGTATTAAAGCCATAATTTCATATAGTGCACAGCACCAAAGAGCATCCACCCACCATCCACTGCAAATATAAGCTACTTTATAAATTTTATTCACATTCAGTGCTGTAATTGGGCCTTCTGACCTAAGTCTATGCCACCCTGATCACGGAGTCATCTTATCCATTTCAAAAACCTCCATTACACAGAATAACCAAATTAACAGCAACTAACATATTCAATATTTACCAGTAAAAAGCTGCAACTACTGACCACTGGTGTAAATTAATTACTTATTATCAAGTTGCCATTATTAAATGATAACCTCAGATCATATTTCCAAGGTCGTTTGAAAAATAATAACTGACAAAGAAAGGCACCGACCAGCGAAGTACAATATCACCACCTTCCTAAAATAATGGCTTAAATAATATTTTATTTGCCAAAATGATTTTGACAAAATTTTTTAAAAATCACTACATTTTTTTCCTTCCAATAGATTTTTTTTTTCTTAGGCAGATGACGATATATTTATTTAAATAAACAAGATATTCAGTCATGTCATTCCTACCAGCGAGTATGAACAGCCCTCCTCCGCAGACAGCTGCTTTGACTTTGCTCTGTGGCATGGCATCCATGAAGCGAGTGCACTTCATTCCCAGTATGGAGACAATCAGCGCCATGGCGGAGAGGAAGAGGCTGACCAGAATCAGTGCTCTAGTGACCTGGACCTCAACTGCAGGATCACAAAGCAGAAAGCTTAAAGCAGGTTACTTTGAGTGGAACATCTCATAGATAAGCGCTGAAACTTACTTGGGAGCTTCAGTAGATACTTGTAATTTTCGCAGGTGGCCCTCTCGGAGGTGCCGCTGCAGGACATCCACAGACCGTCATAGGTGCGGTGTTTTGCTTGACTCTCCTTTCCCCACTCGACCATGAAAGTAGCGGCAATAGTAGCAGAGACTCCAACTAAGGAGAGGAGAAAACCAACGATCTGCAGTCCAGAGCTGGCCATCCTGTCCAGGTAAAAGCGCAGCGGGTGACTTCAACAATCGGAAAAATGTTAAAAGTAAAGTCAGTGGTGACTTATTGACCGCTGTGTCTGCCTCCTAAAAGACGCTCTAATTGCTGCGCTCAGTGGACGCCTCTATTTAAAGCCCCGGACTCGTGACGCATAAGGGGCTCATACTGTGCTGCTGATTGGGGGTGTAAATATGTCACCCGGAAGTCTTATCAAATAAAGTGATGGATGATGTGGGAAATCCGCAGACGCTATTGAAAATTCACTTGTAAGTTTATTCAGTGTATGACTGCAAATAAAGAAGTTAAAAGGAAAACCACGGTAAAGACAGGAACTGTACGAAAAGTGTAATAACATTAATGAGCAGTCCATACATATTAATGCCCAAATGCAAAACAAATTAAAAGTAAAATAATGCTCGTTTTAAATTTGGCAAAGTGAGCATGTGCTGCTGGCACAATTTAAACAACTGAATTGAATTCTGTTTCTGAACGTATTTGTTCCAAAATTGAGGAGCATAAACACTAAATGGCTTTTCTCACTTCTACAAATTTGCTCCCTAAAATTATCCTTCAAAAACAGGAAGCAAGGCTTTGTCTGATGTTAATATTTACAGGTTTGAATAAAAAGCAACCGATAGGATAGGTTTGTGAAATACTCGTCTCCACTGTGTAATTAGCCACCAATTCTTACCCTGAATTTTATCCAAAAACAACGACTTTTGTCTCATCTGCACTAAGGAGCTTCTGACTTGTCCACTCACTGGCCTTATCCATACACTTACTCATCGGCTGCATGGGAATTAAGTCACTTCAAAGTTCAAAGCTAAGTTCAAATCTATAAAGTTTCATGTCATCAGCAAAGATTTGGCAACACATGTTTTGATTTTCCAAACCACTAAAAGTCACCCGAGAATGAGGCCTTGTAGAACCTCAAATGTGATTTTTATTTGCTCAAATTTAGAATTACCAAATGAAACTAAATAGTTATGCTCTTCTTTTGTCTATCAACCAGTCAGTCTTATAACCAGCTGTATCATAAGCAGAGTCTGGGAAATAAAATAAATAACAACTATAAATGTTCTTTCTGCTACAGATGAGAATTAGCTTCAGTAACAACTCGTATGCGAGTTACCCTGCCTACATCACACATGTAGCTTTTTTAGGGCTAAATGATGTATTGTTTTGAGAGGTTTCTCTGCATGGTGGACCTGTAGACGTGTCCTTAAATCCTCCGAAGCAAAACACCTGTTGAAACACGTAGGAGATTTTTAGCTGTTATCACTTTCTGAGTTCTCATGACCACATTAGAGGAATGATGGTAGTCCAGAGCAGAAATTACAGGATTCTCAAAAGTACTACCATATTTTTAGTTTTTCCTAAAACTAGGTTAAAAGCTTCTATTGGTGTAGGGAATGAAATCAGATTGTAGTTTCAGACTTTGCTATTCCTCCCTTTCTTTCATGAAAAGCCATTGGTAGCTATAAGTACTGAGTCTACAAAGTCATAAAATTCAATTCATTTTAAGTTGAAAAACAATTATAGCTGCTCTTTTGCAAAAAAAAAAAAAAGAAAAAAAGTAGAATTTGTTTGTAGTTTACAGGATTTCCATCAGACTTCTACACAATTGGTCCAATAAGGAATGATCAGTGAATTGTATTATAACAACCCCATCAATATCAGTCAACACATCAAAAAGGAATCTCTTTATTGCTAAATACCACCATATCTTTTTTCAACATTCATTCATAATTTATTTACATTCAATCATATTTTTATGATACTCAAATCATGTTTAACTACATCTCAATCAAATCCTCTGCAATCTAATCCAGGCAACAAAACCTAACTTGAAAAATCTAGGAGATCATTTTTTAGGACGCCATTTTTCTGGAACAACACACCAAATAGCTTCTAACGACCTGCTTCTGTCAGCTACGCAACATCAACAAACTCTGAACAATCGGGTCCAGAAATGAGCTTGAGATGTTGCTTCATGCTTTTGTTTCATCACATTTCGACCGCTGCGATAGCCTGTTAAAGTGTCCAGAACGAAAAAGGAGTTGCTCCGTTTGCAGCTGGAACAAAACTCTGCTGGTTTGTGTCAGCTCCAGATGCGCGCTAACAGAAGAGCCCACATCACCCTTGATTTAAAATGTATTCTCTGACTCCCTGTAGCGCATCGTATGATAAAATCCTGGTTTTGAAATTCAGTTCACAACATGGGCAGCCTGTAATTTTCATTCAGTCTTACTCTTCAGCCCTGATGTTATGATGTGCTTCATAAATGTTCCTTCAACTGTATTTTTTTTTTTTTTTTTTTTTTACTTCAAAACACTTTAAAGCTCCTGTCTGTGGAAGGTGCTTTAAAAAGAATTTCTTATTTGCTTTTACCACTTTGTAAACGTCACATTCACTGAAATTACTTCTTAGCATACCAACATCCAAAAATGGCGTATACGATATCCATTAAGCTTAATCAGGGATGTCTTTATCAGTGTAATCTCTTTATGTATCTTTTCTAGAAAGCACGCTGCCCAACGCTAAATGGAAAGCTGTCCAAGAGGAGACATTTCACCCAAATAGCTGAAGAAGGTTAACGACCTTAATTGTAATTCCTCTTTAGCGCAATCCACAGCAGCAAGCTTGTGTTTATACAAGAGAAGTCTTCATTTTTTCCAATGGTTATCTGATTATTTGACCGTATTTGGTGAGGAGGATGCCAGTTTGTAAACAATTGTACGTGGTTCGTAGATTGTAATCATTCTCCACCCTTTCCTGAAATGATTCCCCATCAAAACATTTATTTTTTTTCTGTTGCCGTGCTTCATCTGCAGCTTTTCTCTAAAATTATTGATCATTCTCAACACCACCATTGTTAGACGAGGTTTCCCTGCAGGTCAAAGTTTTTTGTTGTTGTTTTTTTTCCCCCTCTGCTGTACGACTGCAGTCAGCAGACTTTACCAGATGGTAGACGACAATATCAGGAAATCTGCTGTGTGTATTATGTGTTGGAAATGTGTGTTTAAAACTCGTCAAATCCAGGAAGGAGGCTTTACGATCACTGAACAGGTGTAACTATGTTTTCAGAATCATTTTAAAGAAAGATGCCTCATATTATGTCGGTAAATTGTCCACCTACGTGTGTGTTTCTTTATTTTCTAGTGTTACAGTTATATGGAAGCTGATTCACATCATTGGAGGTTTTACTTAGTGTTCAAAAACCTGAAAACAAGAATTTATCATGTTAGTACGTGTTTAATCAGCATAAGACGTAAATTGTGAGATTTAGCAGGTGTTAATTGAAGTGTTTACAATACTTCAAAAATAAGTAGACAAAAAAACAAATTTTTTAAAAATATTTGTCTGTTTTTAAGACTTAAAAGAGTTGAATACTGAAATATGTTCAGTTTTAGGCCTCATGACACAATCCTCTTTTCATGCATTCCGGAAAATGCATGACTGCATTTACTAGAGTACAATTTTGTCTGTTTATTGTACTTTCACTTAAGTACATTGTTTGAGTGCTTTTTTCCAGCACTGCCAAGCATCATCCCTGTCTCACAGTAAGGACAGTGTTGGTTTTTGGTTTTCGTCATTTTTGTGTCAGTGAATGTCACTTTCGAAAAGCACAATTTATTTTCTGTTTGTTTTCCTGCTAGGAAGTGACTGGGCACAGTGTAATTCACGTTCCGTAAACATAATTAGAAGTTGGTATGCCTGCTGATGATCAGCAATGCACGATACAACCGTTGTACTGTAGAAATGATAACAATTTTGGCCAATGATGGAGTCTACAGAACACCAGACACACTATAAGAATAATAATGTAACCTGGAAAGTGCGTGGAAGTTAGAAAATACAAGGAATTTGTTTTACCACCTTAAAACGAAGCAATGCAGCTGAATACAAGTTCCAGTCACAACAGAAAAGGCAGGATTTGACGCAGACATCCATTAAATTAAAGTTATTGTGTTTCTACATTGAGATTTTCATTTAAGTTTGATTTAACCAGATAGTCATCATTGAGATTAACTTCATTTTTTTTGCTCTGTTTCACCAGCCTGTCAGACCACAAGAAATCATAAAAACAAGACATGTCTGGTAACAAAGTAGGCTCAAGGATCATTCCTCAGTCTAAAGGACTTAAAGAAACGATGAGAAACAAAGTCAAAGACATCCAGCAATATGAAAAAGGATCTCAAAGCCATTTGTGAGGCTTTGGGACTAGAACGAACCACAGTCAGTACCATTTTTCATAAATGGCAAAACTGAAACAGTGCTAAAGCATCCCAGGCTTCTCTATCCTACCACAATCACACAGCCCAACCAGAAGAACTCAGACCGACATCTAATGCACAGCGGACCTCAATTGTCTGAGTTAATGTCTGTGGTCATGATTCAGCAAAACACACAGAGGAGAGGTCATTTTCCATGTAATATATTCCACTTCCTGCAAGGCTGTACTGTTGGTACTGTAGATAATCTTTACATGCAGTAAATCCTCCTACCCCAATTTCAGTGTCTCTATGAATATCTTATCCAAAAAAAATCATTTTGTCTCTTTTTCTGGAGATGTAAATAAGTATGCCACCAGATTGCAATAAAACAAGCCTATTTAAAAGCAACACCTGTTGAATGATGACACACACTGCTGTGTGCCATCTTGAATCATTGCAGGAGTTTATTATTAGCAGCTAAATTAGATGTTTTCCTTCCCCTTCCAGTATCTAAAGATAGTTATAAAACCCTTACTTTCCTAAATCCTAAAAAAAGACAATCAACTGAAAAGTTCTTAGTTGCTCAATAGCTGTATCACTGTTATGATGCTGTGAGTCAATTAGGAATTTAACTTTATATTGTGAAACATTTCCCATTATAGACAAAATGTACCTGATCATGTTGCCTGGTCAGCAGTTACACCCACTAGATTACGTGGTTTAGCGTCAGAGGATGTTGGGGGAAATGATGCTGCAAAAATAATCCAGAACATGGGAGTCAATGCTGTTTCAGCCAATAACAAAGCTCTTTTTCTGTTCATTAAATAAGAAAACTTAAGGCTCCATATATGATCAAAGTGAAAATTAAACTGAAGCTTTAGCATTGAGTTTTGCT